CAAACTGCAGCTATATAAAATTTTATTGTGTACTCTTTGCTCATGACGTATCAATAATTTCAAAAAATTGAACTTTATTCCACAAGTATCTTACAAACAACATATAATGATGATTATGATATTGAAAATGAGAAGACTCTAAGGTGTCAATTAAACAAATGAAATAAAATTAAACCAAAAAGGAGAGTTTTTCTTGGTTTTATGTATTTCATTTTTGTAAGCCACAGCACTTTTTATGCCATCGTGCAGTAGTCCTCAGGTTGGTTATGATTTTCCAAGAAATTTTAATTTAATAGAATGTTTGCACACGCTTATTATAACACCTTTATAGAAATACACTTTTTTTTACCAAGTCTTTTTACTGATATCATATTATGGACGTTACTTGTATACATTATTCTTTTTTACTCTTATCATTACTTTGTAGTCAATACGTTTGCAAATTATTAGTTCAAGTAATTACTTTCACACTAATTTATCTTTTCATGTATAAACTTTTAACATTAGGATTTTTTTTTTTAGTTTACAAATTAAAATTTAAAAACATGTGATTGCATAGACCGATTTTGATGAATAATACGTAAAAAGATCAAAAATCGTATCTAGTCGAAGACATTGCCCTCAAAAATTGAAAAAAAATACAAGGAGGGTCAAAGCTTTAAACATGCGTATTGCAACTAGGACATTTTCAATTTAATTTTTGAAAAAGTTCCAGAAATACTGATACATTTATATATATCTTAAATTAAAACTTATTTAATATACTTCAATATGAAAAAAAAAAATTGAGCTCTGGATTTGTCTTAATAGTGAAAATTCTGGGTTTTGTATTTTATTGTATTTTAAAATACCTGGCAAAGGGAGTACATTGATTTCATAAATATTATATAAATCTAATTGATATAGCATAGGAAGTTAAACTTATTTAAATTTTTTTGCATTTTGTAAGTCGAGAAAAATAACTTTGAAATTTGAACTAGCTTAAATTGACATTTTTTTGAGACGACAGAAGCGATAAAAATGCAAAAAAAAATATAGAGCTTTTCTGATAAATTTACTATAAATAGTAATTATAAAACTTTCTGACTACATATTAATCTTAACGATACAATTTTTTTAATTCTCATAAAATTTTTTATTTAATGATGTCAATTTCAAAAAAACGGTAGCACAGTGGGGTCGCGGCATAGTGGAGACATTGCATAGTTGGGTTCAGTCTAGATTTAATCTGACAGTGATTAAAATCACTATCATAAGAAACGCTTCGATGCAAATCTGTAGATAGTGTTTAATTTTAAAAAATTGTTGGATAATTGCAAAAGCAACATCAACTTCTATTAAAATAAAATACAAAACCCATAATTTTCATACAAAAATAGCATATTTTTGAATATGGTAGCCATTTGCGTATAGAAGATANGCAAATTGAGTTAAAAGCTATGGTAATAAATTAATTTTTTTTTACTATAAACTTTCACAAAAATCAACTTTAAAGGATTAAAAAAATAGATTAAATATGTTGTTTTTCTTATTTATAACATATTTATAATCAAAATCAATATTAATTTAAAACAATTTTTTTTTATATAAAGTATGTAAATACTTTATTTAGTAATAATAATAATATTAACACTTAGAAGTGATAGAAGAAGTCTAATTGCATATTTGAAAGCATCGCAAAAAGTTGATTTAGAAAAGTGTATATTTGGTTCTGATGAAAGTTCCTTGTAGTCCATTGTGTAAAACTTATACCTTTGTTATAAGTAACAAACATTTTTTATTGAAAAGTATTGCATCAAGACCTTTAAATTTTAGCTTCGATGCGAAGCTGAGAAGGTATTAATTTTACTATGATGTGTTTTTTTTTTTTTTTTTGTCTGTTACCACTTTTTTTCAGTTCTCACCGAACCGATTTCTTTCAACGATACGTCAAAAGATCACAAATCGTATCTAGTCGAAGACATTACCCTCAAAAATTGAAAAAAAAATCACTCGTTCGCCGTAAATGGGGGAAACCTCCAAAAAAATTACAAATTTAAAAATCGCTAATTTTCGAAATTTNTAAAAAAAAATCACTCGTTCGCCGTAAATGGGGGAAACCTCCAAAAAAATTACAAATTTAAAAATCGCTAATTTTCGAAATTTTTTCACTTTTTTTCTTAAAACTTCCACAAATTTTTGAAAAATCAACAAATCAACATAATTTTTTTTTATACTAAAACCTTAGATATTTACCTTTCATTTGATATCATTTTTTTGAAAATCTATCACTTAACCTGCTCATTGGGGGGGATTTAAAATGGCAACTTTTTTACAAAAATTAATTTTTTCAACTTAATTTTTGAAAATGTTCCGGAAAGACTGCGTCCTTTAAACATATATCAAATTAAAGCTTATTTTATGTACTACAAAATGAAAAAAAAAAATTTGTCCCGACACTTTTTTTTCTACATTTAAACGGCTGCCGTAGTTAAAAAAACACTATTTTTGTGTTAAAATTTTCGATTTTCGATTTTAAATTTTCAACTTAAAAATGCTATAACTTTTTGAAAAATGTATATATCAGCACAAATTTTTTTTTTCTAAATACATTATAAGTACATCTTTCATTTGACATACTTTTTATTAAAATTGGACAATTTCCCCTTATATAGGGGGCGTTCAAAACTTAAAATATTGTAAAAAACATAGATCTTTTTCAACTGAACTTTTGAAAATGTTCCGGAAATACTGCGTCCTTTAAACATATATCAAATCAAAGGTTATGTTATATACTATCAAATGAAAAAAAAAAATTTGTCCCGACATCTTATCTTCTATGTGCAAATGGCTGTCGAAAATTTAAAAAAAAATGTAATGTTTGCGATAAAAATTACATTTTATCGGGATGTTTTTTGTACTTAAAACTGCCATAACTTTTTCAAAAATGAACAAATAAAAATAATATTTTTTTGTATTGAAACCTTAGATATTTCCCTTTCATTTGATATAATTTTTTTTGAAAATCTAACACTTATTCTGCTCACTGGGAGGATTTAAAATAGTAACTTTTTTACAAAAAATAACTTTTTCAACTTAATTTTTGAAAATGTTCCGGAAATACTGCGTCCTTTAAACATATATAAAATTAAAGCTTATTTTATGTACTACAAAATGAAAAAAAAAAATTTGTCCCGACGATCTATCTTCTATACGCAAATGGCTACCATATTGAAAAATATACTATTTTTGTATGATAATTATGGGTTTTGTATTTTATTTTAATAGAAGTTGATGTTGCTTTTGCAATTATCCATCAATTTTTTAAAATTAAACACTATCTACAGATTTGCATCGAAGCGTTTCTTATGATAGTGATTTTAATCACTGTCAGATTAAATCTATACTGGACCCTACTATGCAATGTCTCCACTATGCCGCGACCCCACTGTGCTACCGTTTTTTTACTTAAAACTGCCATAACTTTTTCAAAAATGAACATATCAATATATTTTTTTTTTCATAAATGCTTCATGTCTTTACCTATCATTTGGTATATTTTTTTTATAAATTTGACCCTTTACCAGCCCATAGGGGGGGATTTAAAATTACAACTTTTTTACAAAAAATTAACTTCTTCAACTTAACTTTTGAAAGTGTTTCAGAAATACTGACACTTTTATATTTATCTTAAATTAAAGCTAATGTAATATACTTTATTATGAAAAAAAAAAATTTCGAACTTTATTTTGTCTTCACGGTGAAAATAGTTACCAAATGCTATTATTGTGTGTAAATTCACGATTTTATTTTTTACATTTTTAACTTCACAATGCTATAACTTATTGAAAAGTGTATGGATCAACACAATTTTTTTATGAGAAATAATATTTTTTAATAATCCCTTTTTCATTCGACATACTTTATCTTAATCAGGATATTAATAAGGAACTAGCAGATCATGTAGCTTTTGGAATAATNGATATTTAAAGGAACTAGCAGATCATGTAGCTTTTGGAATAATACACCAATTTTTTAAAATTAAACACGGTCTTAAGATTTGCATCGAAGCGTTTTTTTTTACAGTGATTTTAATCACTGTCAGATATCATTATACTTCATCCAACTATGCCACGTCACCACTGTGCTGCGACCCCCCTGTGCTGGGTTTTTTTATACACGTTAATAGTAAAGAAATATGCAACTTCTTTATTATTTTTATAATATCTCCGTAAAAATTACAATATTAAATTATTGAATATAAATTTCATACTAAATTTAATTATTATTTATTATTTACACCGTCAGATATCATCTTTACTTGTCCCAACTATACCACGTCCATATTGTGCCGCAACCCCACTGTGCTGCCGTTTTTATATTCCATATTTATTTATGTTGTAAATTATTTTCTTAAAATAAAGCAAGTCAGTTTGTGTTTGATTATTTACTATACTTAAGTTTATTTTTATTTTATTGCATAGATTAAATTTGTCTACAATAGACAAATTTATATATAACACAATAGTATTGATAGTATCATTTAGAGCAATTCTAAATACATAACTAACTGCATGAGTCCACCTACGCGCATATACGTTAGGCATAATTTACGTAATCGGGAATTAGTGATTAAAAAATGGTGTCGTCACCCCGCTGGGTGCCTCAACTATATTTTAATTATTTCTGTTTTCGAGTCATGCACTGCGGTGGTCGATACACGTCTAGGGTACTCGTGCAAGGCGGTACTCTACTGCTATGTGCCGTCGGTACTCTGCGGATACCACGACATGTTAAGGGCTATTTGTGCAATATTCACAGATTAAGCTACACGACGTAACGCATAAAGTATTACTTGTTCAACCAGCGTAGGCTACTCATGTAGTTGGGTTATAACGACATTTGATACATTCTACACACGGTAGAGCATCACACTCTGTTTATAATATTTTATGATTACAGTCCACTCAAGAGTATTATCAAATATTTTAAGGATAAATTACTTATTTTATAATAACATATATAATATAATTGCAATATTTTTATTAAGTCTCGAATAAAAAATCAATTTTTACAAGGCAAATTATTGAAACCTAAATCTTCATAATCATTTTTTACGACTTTCAGAATAAATGATTCCAAAATATCACACAAAGATTGATAAATAGTACTATATTCTGTTAAGGTATTGGTTTGAAGCAATAGTTCAAATGTTGTAATTAAGTCTATATCTGATTCACATTTATTAATTATGCAATATTTCATGTTAAACTCAATTACGTGATTTAATTTCGTCTGTAAATCTTTAGATTGAACTTTAGCTACGTTTTCAAGAAACGTCAAAGCTTCAAAAAATCCATCATTAGTAAATAACAATGGGGAAAAATACTTTTTTCTAACATCATTCAAATAATCCATAAAAAATTCTATCGCTCTCTCTATGAGTAATTCTTGACGTTGATATTTTTTATCTTTTGTGTAGTGTCTTAGAGTAATAAGAGCAATTAACATTTTTTTAAACATATCATCGGATGCCATAAGTGTTTCATAAAGCTTAACCGCACAATTAATTTTATTTTCATATTTACAAGCATAAACTATATGCCCCAACATTATATTGAAATTATGAAATATTTCAATATAGCGACATCTTAAAATAAGTGCAAGATATGATCGCACGAAATAATAATTTTTCTTATCAACCATTTGTTCAATGTCTTTAAAATATAGTGATTTTTCGTTTGTAAATTCAGTTTTAACAGCTATATGTTTCCATGACATCCAACCAGTAGCGTGAGAAATAAAATGCTTACACAATGCAATACCTTCATTTTCGCCATATCTTCTACTTTTGAAATAACTATGTCTATATAGAACAATAAAAATCATACATGTTTGCTTAAAATTAATACCATAATAATGTTACCTTTTAAATATAAAAAATAAATTTGTACCTAACAAATAATAATATATATATATAATAATAAAAACATATAATACAATAACATATAATAATTAAATTTAAGTAAGTAAACGTGCTAAATATTAATCTTACTTGAAGGTATTTGTATCTTTTAGTTGTTCAAAGCCTAGTTTTGAATAACAATTATCAATTATTCTGAAAATATATAATTCAAGATCTTTATAAATGTTATTAATATAATCCTTAGAGTCCTCTACCAGTTTTTCCATTTGATCGATATTATATTTCATCAACAAATTGATTAAAATAGAGCTTTCGTGTTCTGTCCCACACACTTTTCTATGTTTGTAAAGATTTGATATCATTAATTCAGTTTTTTTATTAAAATCTTTTATACTTTCAAAAGTTTCGACCCAATTAAAATTATTAGGTGCATGAAATGTTGAGAACTTGCTTAACTCTAATGCATGTGTGTATAAATAATTTATTTCATTATCTACAGTTTTAATATTAAGTATAGGCGAGTCTATAATTCGTAGGTCGATTTTATCGAGATACTTTGCCGCTTTCAACATTTTTTTAAACATATTTATTGAAAAATTAAAAATATAAACAATTATCTTTGTGCAATATATATATCCACTATTTTGATTTTTTAAAATATTTATTTCACATTTATTTATAATAAAGCTTAACATTACATTGAAAGTTTGCATTGTATTGGTATATTCACAGTTTAACAGACAAATTATAAAGTAGAGTTTTTGTATAAAGTTATTGTCATCGATAATTTCACCTGTGATGCTTTCGATATTAATTGTTAAGTTCTCAAGTTTAATTTCTGTTTGTTGAATTGAGTACCATCCATTTTGAACACGGATGTGATTTAATGAATTAATAACGTATTTCTTAAAATCTTCACTTTGAGGATCACAATATATATCTAAAACTTGACTTAATTGCCAAAATAAGAAAAACACATATAAAATATTTTTTTTAGACATGTCTTTCAATTATATGAAACAAAATTTATTGTATTATATATTTTTGAGTAAAATAATTAATAACACTTTTTTAATATTGCTTATACTTTATTGAAATAGAAAAAGAACGACATAAACTTTTGTTATAACAACTATACTGCTATTTGTAATTCGTTTAATTATTATAATATTCGTATGATATTACTGTATAAATTTGATATATTAATGTTTGCTAACTTTTTTTGGAAGTTTTTAAAAATATATTAACTTGATAATGACAAATTTTCGGAAATAATTTTAATGAACACATATGTTTAAATAAAAAAGTTCACGTTTGCGCACCCTACATTAGTTTATATTTAATGTCTTTGCTTAAAAAAATTATTCAAATGTATTATATTGTAAAATATAAACATTTAAATATATTAAAATATCAATATTATCTATTACCTAATAAGTTTTAAGAATATTTATAACTATGATAGCCATGAAAATATTTAAAACCAAAAATAATAAAGAACTTTTTCTTTAACATTGATTTGATTTTTTCCCAATGTCATGTATACAAATTTAGCAAATTATTATCATGACAATATAAAATATAAAAAATATAAATATATTTATATTATATTACAATATAAAAAATAATTTTTAATATTATTATGAACGAATAATATTTATCAATATTATAATTTCGAAAATCATTCTTGTTCATTTTAGAACACGAAAATTGTTATTATCAAATTAAAAACTCAAACATTTTATTAAATTAAAAATATGTGTTTCCATTTAAAAAAACAAAGTTGACGCCTTTACAAGGCATAAGGGATGAACTTGAAAAGTATTACATGGTTAATAATTCAAGAATAATGTGTAACTAAAGGCAACCAAAAAAAAAAATGTTTAAATATTTTTATTATGTAAGTAATTGAATGGGTTATGATAAAAAAATAACTCTGTATATTTATATAATTTTTGGACAGTTTTGGACTACATTAAAAGTATATATTCAATTATTTGTCTCTTATAAGGAAACAAATAATTTTTTTTTTAATTTAAAAAAAGCCATTTTTAGGATTTTTTTACAAAATAGTTTGATAGGCCAATAACAACTTTAGAATATTTACTTATTGTGTCACAAACATTTAAAGATATAGTGTCTCAAGTTAAAATAGTTTTAGAAAATTAAAATATTTAAATAAAGGGAATTTTTTTTTTTTTAATTATCTAAATAATTATAAAATTAATTTAGAAAAAAAAATTATCTCAACATATCTTAGATATTTTTTTTTTTTGGGGATCTATCTTTTTTAGATAAAGATGGAAATTATTTAATTTATCTGAATATGGGTAAATTTTATAAATATACCTATTATTTTATCTAGATTAATATTTTTTATGGGGAAATAACACTAACTCTGGGACAAAATAAATATCTATTTCTGTGGTCATAATTGTTGATTATTAAATTGTCTTATATTGCAAACTGATTAATTTTCCTAATTTTAATATAAATGAGGAGTTTATATTCACAATTTACAAAACTTCAATAAATTTGCATTCAATATACCTTAAAAATATATAAATGAACTCCGCAAAAAATAATGAAATTTAAGGAATGAATTCATATTGAATGCATTCCTTCGTTCAATTCTACGTAAAAAAAAGTCCTTCTGCTTTATGTCAACAATATTTACTATGAAAAATGTATAATTAAATATTAAATAAACTGCATTAAAAATATAAAAAAATGCTTTTATAATATTTGAGCTTAGAATATTGTCTTTTAAAACCACGTTATGAAAAGTTTAATTACTGTTACAACATATTTGGTTGTAAAATAAATGTATTTAATAGTCAAATAGGAAATATTGCCATAATAATAATAAATAATTTATTATAAATATTATAATTTATTCTTAATCTAGATAATTTTTTGTCATTTTAAAAAATGATAAAAGGAAATGATAGGGGAATAAGAAAAAAATACAATTAACACTCATTATAAATAAAATATATCTTAATACATTATAATAGGTAGACATTTTAACAAGAAACTTTTTCGACTAACGCTGCTGTTGGCGAACAAGACCTACTAATGACTAAAGGAGATTTAAGATTATCAGGTTCAGTGTCAATTATATCATTTGGTTCTAAAATTTGAGGTGATAGAGGAATAGAACTAGATGATGACGATGATGGACTGTGTGGCTCAGAAGATGACGTTTGAGTTGGCCATTTATTTGGGTTTATCCGTTGAGATAATGCCTTATGCATTGAGGATTGGTATGAATGGGTATGCCAGGGTAAACCAAGTAGAAAAGCTGATGCAGCTGTTGGATTGAATACTATGTTGGGCCAAAATTGTTCAGGACTTAGGAATGGAAGTGGTCCAAGCCCAGATTGTGTCAAACACTCATTCCTGAACACTGCAATCAAAACATTTTCTGTTACCAGTTAATTAATTAATTTTGATATTTATATTCAATAGCATATGTTTACACATAATGATTGTGCTTAAATATTAATAATTATAAATTTTTATTTATGATTCTATTACCCCTATATAATGTCATGAAATTGTATGCTTGAAATTATACACATTATTGTAATCAAGCTTAGAGAAGATGGTTGTATTTTTTATAATTTTTTTTATAATGTATATATATAATGTATATGATGTAGAATCTTTACATGATAACGCACAAGTTGAGACGATCATATTACATTCAATTTTTAATATCGAGTCAGTTGCTGCTATTTTTCAAGTATTGTTCCGTTAATCGTACATTTAATAAGTACTGATTATTTTTACATGATTTTATTTGTAAAATGTTGTTAATTCATTAAGATTTTATGTAAATATTTACTTGAGTGTTCTGGCAAATACGAAGTATTTGTTTCTCGTCCCATTGATTTTTCTCGTTTTCTCCATTTAGCCCTACGGTTTTGAAACCAAACCTATTTCATAAAAAAAATAAAATCTGTTACCTATTATTTTTAAATAGCAAGATATTTATAACTTTACATAAATTAATAAATTTTAAATAAATAATAGCAAAAGTATACAATTGATTAATTATCTTGCCTTGATTTACTATTCTTATTCCAAATTCATAAACGGGTCGTTCACTGAATTCGAAAGTTCGATTTTACCTACGAGGCTGAAAGATAGTTTACCTTATGTATTACGCAAATAATTAATTTAGTTTGGCTTAGTGGCGCGTGTGCTTAAAAAAGGGTATCAGAGTAAAATCCCTTTTTTATTGGCTAGGTTAAAATATTGACAATACACTTAAAACGGGAGTTTAATAAACCGGTGGAAGTTTCGGCACCCAAAGATTATTATCCGGCGTCGGTAGTGCGAGAAAGGGTAGGTGGTGACGATGGTAGGAGCAAATAGTCGATGATAGGAGGGGAGGGTTAATGCTCTATTTGGACGTCCGATTGGGGTTGATTGTGCGCGGTGCGTACGTCGAGGGTGTGTTGTGTAACACAATGGGACTCCCCTCATACATTTATATACTGACTGTGCGAACAATGCACTTAAATGATCGTTAGGAAATTAGAGAGATGTTAAATCGGTTGTCGAGAAATTGCACCCCAATTAACTTGTAATTCATTATCGGGCAGCTCGTGTGCTCTGGTTTAAGTCCATCTCAATTGGTTTATTGAATCGTTTAAAAAATTTGAGACAATCGGTGGTAAGAAAGCTTTTTGGAGTCTGGAGCAAGTCGAGTGAGCGAGAAAGTGACAGGGCAATTGTATAGACATCTTGTAGCCTCTTTCCCTCTCTCTCTCTCTGACGCCTTCTTTACATCACCGCTGAGTGTTTCGCGTAGTATACAATTAGCACATTGTTTTTATGCGACTATACTCGAATAAATCTATTTGTGTCTTTTTATTGTTTTTAGCCAATTTGAAAATTGTACTTAAGTCTTTCGTAAATATGGCACGGTTATAAAATTTGTGCAAAAAATTAAATCTTAGATTCGTTAAATAACCGACTTGAACAATAATAATTTGAAACATTTGAAAGAAAATAAAAATTAATAACATTTTAGGATTTCTAAGTAAGTTTTTTTATTTAAAATCTAGTAAAAGACGTATTTTGGTTATATTTTAATTTTATATACGTGTAATTGCGGGTGGTAAGGGTATAAGATTTATGATTGAAGGATTTATTATGCAAACTATCGAAAGTCTTATAATTTTTTGTACTATAGAACTAATTGATAAAATAATGTATAAAAGTCATTACCTGTACTCTAGCTTCGCTTAAATCCAATCGCATAGCCAACTCTTCTCTGGTAAATACGTCGGGATATTGTGTTTTCTCAAATGCTCTTTCCAATTGATGTAATTGGTAAGTAGTGAATGTCGTTCTGCTGCGACGGACTTTCCGCGGTTTTTCGTCATCGTTTTCGTCCATACGGTGAAATGATGTGTCAGAACTGCTAACAGCATACAAAGCGTCTAGTTTGGATTGACACCGCACACTATTACTATCTACATCAACAGTAAAATAATTAGAAATACAGAATATTATTATATAAATGTGTTCACAAAATAAATGCTGCCTACAAGAAAAAGAGGAAATGGAAACTTCTCTTCAATTTTAATTAAAATAGCCAACAATTAGTATTTTAAAAAGGTCGAAAGAGATGACGAATGATTGTTAATTATTAGAAAAATATTTATTTTATACCTTTACCACAATTTTATTTTTGGANGTGTTCACAAAATAAATGCTGCCTACAAGAAAAAGAGGAAATGGACACTTCTCTTCAATTTTAATTAAAATAGCCAACAATTAGTATTTTAAAAGGTCGAAAGAGATGACGAATGATTGTTAATTATTAGAAAAATATTTATTTTATACCTTTACCACAATTTTATTTTTGGAGATACTTCAAAAGATAAAACCAGATTTAGAATTTTGCCTTTTGTTTCAAACAACTATATATTTTTTAGTATTTAATGTTTCTTAATTATATCACTTATATTTACTATAATAAAGTGACGAATTAGGGAGGTAAATATCTCCTCTAAGAAGTCCAAGAGAGAAACGTAATTTTAGGGTTGCGCTTCTGGTGGTATGAATATGATATTTATTGAAATGAATCATGTTGGTCACAAACTAATTATTCTCAGTAAAGACAATTTTGTTGAATACGTGGAAATTCCGTTGACTATGATTACATTTAATCAGAAAATTGTCGGCGATTAACGTCAATTAAGTGAAATTATAGTTAAATTGTAATATAATTTTGATGAATTCGTTTCAGATAAACCAGGTCGGCTTTTATACATATAACACGATATATTATTAGAACATTATTTTAATCTACGTATGCGAACCTAATTACTAATAACGTGATATTTGGAGAGCACGATTATTAAAATGGTACTAAGCAGCTTACACGGCTTTTGTTATTGCGCGTTGATTGTATAACGCTCCCCTTTTCCACATGTGTAAAATATATAATATTATTTAATCGGCTTACAAATGTTCGGCTATCGAATCATATACTCGTAAAGGTTTACGCCAAATCTAGACCGTTGTCGTTTTGAAATTTTATTGTAATGTTAGCAACAGATAAAAGTACCGTTTACAACATCCGCTTTACTCACCATCCATTGTCGAAACCGGTGCAGTACCACTTGACGTTCACAGAATAATATATTATGTAGGGGGTTTATTTCATCCAGATTTGCCCACCTCTATTTCAAACAAATCTTCGCGATTCCCAGTAAATAATGTCAAAATAATTTCATTGTTATATTTTATACTTGTAAATGTTATACAACAATAATTAAAACAATGTGATTCAATAATTGTCGGTATTTAGTAATTTAATTTAAAGAAAACAAAAAGTTATTCTTCTTAAAATGATCAAGGAATGCCAAATAAAAGGTTTTCGAGTACGATTGGCATTTATTAATTATTTTTAGGATACCTTTACGCAGAAATACACGGGGTGGTTCTTTTAACGGCACCCTATAAATTTCTCTTAAAATAATGACTTTTTCAAAAACTTATTTCGTCTTTTGCGAGTTACATATGTGTCTTCATTGAGCTGTCATAAAATAATTTTTAGGTCCGTCTCTTATACCTTAAAAGATTTTAACTTAAATTTAATAAAGAAACAACATATATATATATATATATATAATAGACAATTATCTAATTACGGTAATGACGGGTCGATAAAAAATTCCAAGGTGGTATTTTAGAAGTTAATCACGTTTTTATACCTAGACGGGAGGAGGAGTTAAGTCGAGAAATGTCTAGTGATAAAAATAGTAGCACCAGCGTCTTCATCTTCAGTCTGTATTTGAAATTGATAATAACTTCTAATATACTTGTTTGAAAGTTGAGAAATTGATAGAGTAGCTTTAAGAGAACCATCTAAACTTGATTAATGGTGTGGCAAAAAACAACTTTAGGATTTAGAGGAAACCCAATCTTTTAGTTTAAGGCTGCTAATAGTATAATTAATGCTAATAATTTTGCTCATTTGTAAATGATTTAATAACTTGTTGAAAAAGAAACATATTATTTTTTTACCATAACATGGCTTACATAAACAGTTATTTGTGCCGGCAATAAAAAATCACTACACAAATAGGGTCTTTTGAAATTAGATTTTTTCATTTTAGTGATACTGAGTCGAAAAAAGACACCTAGTGAACGTTCATGATGGCATGAGATGTTATCACTAAAATTTGAGAGATCAGCTAAGTTTTGTGAAGTAAAACCAAAAAGGCAACTCTTGTGCTGTCGACATTTGTTAACTAAGAAATGGTCTTTTAAACGTTTCTAGTATCCCTTAGTTGTTGATTTATGGCTACAATTACATGGAGAATTTAAATTTTGCAGTTTCTGTCACACCATGTACTTAAAAATATTAATTGTGGCACTTGTGTAAAGACCATTAATATATATATTTGGCTTTGTAAAAAAATAAAGCTTATTTTTTTGTTATTCATTTATCACAGATTTCAATGTCTGTATGCAGTTAATTAATTTTATATTAACAGACTACCCAACCAAACAGTAATTTTGAATATACAGCCATTAAGACTTTATTATGACAAGATGTATTAAAAACGATAAGTGCGTAATTAACTTAGGTATTCTTATAATTTACTTCTGGTTAAAATAAGTTTCAACCTTTTGTTTTAAATTTCAATACAATAATTCGTTATATTCACTAAGTACTAAGTACCTATGAAATAAGACCTAATATACTTGAAAATATATCCGTTCTTAAATTTAATTGAAGCTTTTTAAAAGAGATTACATCTTATATTGTTAAAAAATGGCTCACTTGAAGATTTTTTAATTATTTACTAAACTTATGAAATTATCATTCTATACAACTAAATATACTTAATACATAAACTTTTAGTAGATTATAAAAAAATATTTCAGCCTTAAAAGTTAACTGACTAGTATTGAGTACTAAATTTATATAAATAAAGATGTTAGTATAATAGAGAAACTAATTATTGCAAGTTTTCTATTACCTATTGACTCTTGAACACAAATCGGCCAAAAATAATTAAAAATATTAATTGTTATTTTTCAGCTATGTGATTTTAATGGATAAATTATTTGGCTACTGTTGAAATTAAAGAAATAATTAGTTATTTAAAATAATTTATTACCTCAAATTCTTTTAAAATAAATAAATGAACTTTCTCTATATTAATTTTTTATTTTGAACGATTTATGTAGATATAAATATAATAAATTGAGAAGAATAATCTGCTTAAAATTATATAATAATATATATACCTTAAAAATTTGCAATATTTTAATTTTAAAAATTCTCTGAAATTATACTCGTTTAAATTTTATTAATTTGATAATATAATTTTATATTGTTTTATTGCAAACTTATAACTATAAATATTAGAATAATTATGTTTATATTTTAAATATTATAGATTATAGATCAGATATTAATGTAATTATCATTTTTTAATCGATTTAGTTCTAAATATTGACAAAAAATTTAAGTATAGATTGATTAATGAATATAACTTACCATTTTTGGTTGAATGTGTTGTGCTGAGAATCTGATCGATTGTGTATATATTTCTAGCTGATTTAGTCGTGTCCATTATTCAAATCTTTGAAGACTTTTAAAATTTATACTATTCTATATTGGTGGTGTGTATGTTTTCTCTTGCCTTAACAACAACTGAATGACACATGGTTTGTTAGGTCTTTAACCGGAGGGACTGTAAAATAAACCCCATCTACCCTTCGTTACGCCTTCGTTTCCAGAAGGATTAGCCCGGAGGGCGGATGCGTTGTCGTGGTCGCGAATTCTATTGGACACTTAGCCCTTCCCACACGTCCTGCGCTTCATATAACATTTTTGATAATTATATAATTGGTCTAAATTATACGTGACATAAAATTAATAACACTTGAATGTCGTTAAATATTGTTCTGCTTGTAATGAAAAGTTGCATTCATTAAGATAAAAATAAATTACTTTGAAATCCTTTAATTTATTTATTTTTATCAAACAATTTATTAACGAATTTTAAAAAGATTTTAATATTTAAATTGCTTTCAATATTAAAAAAAAAAATAAATAAAACTAATTTTAAATAAATAATAATCCAATATCTTAGCTTAAATTGAACGTTTACGATTCGAATAAGTCGACAATGAGTCCTGTTTCAATGCATAGATATACGTGTTCGATTCTAATTGAAAAACTATTGTATCTTCACCGTGTAAATATTTTTGTTTTGGGGAATTTACTCCCCTCACTCATCCTAATAATGTACCTGAAACTAAAGTTTCTATTTATAATTTTCTGTAACTTTATTAAATGTTTAAATATCCTCAAATGAGGTGCAGTGGGTTGCCTTCTCTGTTTGAAATGCGGAAACTATGTAAATTTTTCTACTAAAAATATTTTTAGACTCTATTTACAAAGTCGTAGAATTTACTATAGTTGGACAAATAATGTGTATTTTTATTTACTTTGAAATATTTTAGAGACGATACGATATAGGATATTCAGTGTATAGCCGTTTTCTTAATGGCGAATCAGCCTTAAAATATATACTTGAATAACTTGTATAAAAACGGTCGTATAACTACAAATATTTTCAAACTTTAAGCGGATTTTGCTTCTCTTGATATTCAAGTTAAATTTACTAATACTTATTTTATCATAATACAACAATGTAAGTAACTGTTTTACAACTTTACAGAAGATGAGCAAGTTTGAAGTCAACTATTTCAAAGAAGAGGCAATATTTTAATTTAAATGTCTTCTGCGTTTTTACTAAATAAATTCTAATTTTAAGATTCCATTGAAAAGACAAGAATTTTCGACCAGGACTTATGTAGAGTTGGGTACTTAGTGAAAAACATTATTAACATTAAAAAAAATACTAATAATACAAAGATAAATATTTTTATTTAACAAAAAGCTTGTTATTTTTTAAAATGTTAAACGGGCAATAATACCTCCAATAATTATTTTAAGAATAGTTTTGTTTTATACTTAAGATAAGAACAATATTGTGATATTCATATTTTAAATCATCTTTTTTTTAAATAAAGTTGTAAAATGTATTTTTATAAATTGTAGAAAGTAACATAAAATGCATTTTTCATAGAATACACAATATATAAAATATGGGCCAATTTTTGTTTTAATACTGCTGTATTAAAAAAAATTGCCATATTGCATGCAATGTCACATCAACGTAAAATATTCTTCAAATTAATAGAATAATGGGATATTTTGTATTAAAAAGAGTAGTAGGAGAAATAATTAAATTTTAGTTTAAAAAGATATTCGGAAAAAACAAATTGTTTTTGATATTCTAAAATTATTCATTCGTTGAAGAACACTGTGCATTGTATTCTTTAGATCTGAGATTGTATTTCTCCGAATGGAATATCACGATGAAATATTAATACATAATATAAAATTCACCTGCATTATTTTATTATAATGTATAATACGTACGCGCCTCTAAGACTTATTGTTACAAAGTTTCGACATGATTTCCAAGATCAAAGTTCAAAAGTACTTATTAATCTCTATTACACGTAGATAATAATACACAAAAGTGTCTTATATCTATGGATTCTGGGACATCGGCAACACGTTGACTGTAAAATATCCAAGGACGCTGCTGGCTGCACAAACTGAATGACTTCAGAACCTCGTGGATCATTGGGTACAATAGCAATGGAAACTCATTATATTACATTCTATACTTAGGTACGTAACCCTTTCCGTTTCGATATTTACCCGGCACACCGTCGTTTTAACGTTGTAACTACTGCAAACTTAAATACAATGAAGACGCGGCACCTCTGCTCTTCACCTTCGCAGCCACTGCCTACGTGTAACTTTTAACTCGTTATTATTAATTTAACGGGGTACGTCGAAGGAAAGCAAGGAAACATATTTATTAATATTCAGTGGAGTGTTGTACCAATTTCCCTTTGATAGTAATGCTGATTCCACCTGGCCCGCGCCTCTCCCTCTTCACATTTCCCCCGTATTACACAACTTTGCTAATAACCGTTTCGTCCAAAAATGTTTTTTTTTTGCGAAAGCTTGATAATATTGTTTTACTAATAATAAAAGATAAATTAATAAGTTTTTCATTAATTGGGACTAGAGTTTTTCAAAAGATATTTTATTTAAGGTAATGTATTTTTTAATAAATTATTAAAAATATCGAAATTGGTTAATAATAGTGTATGGAAAACAAAAGGTAAAAATAAAAGTCTCGCTGAAAGAGTAATTTTTTTTTCCCTGGGTGGTTTTAATTTAGTTTCAGTTAACATTACTACAATTGAGTTGATGAATAGCACAACATTCAAACATGTGCTTTTACTAAATATGTCTATAATAAATTCTTTATTAATTTATTTATAAAAAGATACACTACTAATCATATTTTGAGTAGGACGACAACGTTTAGAGCATCCAGTTAAATGTTGTAACATTTACTGAATAATTTTACATTTTTCTTTTAATGAGAACACCTATTTGTAAAAGTATTCATATTCGTAGAAAATACTTTAATAGTGTTGCACTTTGTAAACTATTTTTCAAGTTGCAAATAGTCTGATGTGATTTATTAAAAATGATTTTGATACGCATTGAATACATTTTGTATTAAACGTTGTGGTACAGTTATTTCCAAATAAACGTGCTGCCATAATAGAATATAGTTATTAAGTTGAAGCAAGTGATAATAAAATACCGAGTGGAAACATCCGAGTTTTGAGAGAGAAAGAATAATAGAAGAAAATATGCGGAAGCTTAGATGGTCGAGAAAAAGGAGTTGCTGGGTTGTGTTTGCTTTTTTCTCGAATGACTATCGGTTTTCTATCGAATAAAAGATGAAGAAGTTTTAATAAACGGATGGTTTAAGGGTTTAACGGCGGCGAGTTGATGAAAAAAGAATACAAAATATATAGTCGTCGGGGAGGTTTCATTAAAGTTTACACGGCAAATTGTATATAGGCCCCTGGTGCTGTGTACACAAACTCAGATTCAATAAGGACCACAGCTACTGTCTCGGTCTGACTTCCACGCTCACACACACGCACAATTGTATATACTAACGCAGGCTTTTCAGGCAATTTTATATTACACTTGGAATAGTTGGGCAAATGATTCGTCTTGATGTGACTTATAGTCCCCTTCCCAGTCCAGTGCACATACACACCGCGGTTACTCGACCAGACACCGTCGAGCCAAACACCTCCGGGCTACGAAATAAATCAGTAAAACTTTATTAGATTTATATTTGCTGCAAGGCGTCGTCTTTATACATACGTGACATCCACACTTCTATTACAGGTTAACGGTCGTTTTGTGTCAATTATGTTAGATACTTTTATTTATTTTTCTATTTAGTGTGACGTATATCAAAACATGAACAATATCTCCGTCGCGTGTCATTACTAATTAAATCAAAATAAAAAAACGACAACTCACCATCCCCTACCAACCATTTGTAAAATATTAATATAGTTATTGGCGTTATTATTAAAATTTATTTCATAACATCTACACTAAGACAGGTGAAAACGTGAACGATAAATCTTAGTTTATAAATTATTTTGCAAAAGTCTTGTACATTACGTACATGCTTTCAAAAACACTAATTAATTTAAGTACTAATATCCATTGGCATCAAAACACCTTCAGTAAAATACAAGAAAGCAAAGTATCATTTTGTTTTTCTAATAAAATCTCTCAAGATAATTATGTTCTAAAAAATTATATTATTATTGTAGATCATTAAGAGTAGATATTTTATTTCATAAATTGATTTAAAATAATCGTTTATTATTAATTTCAGATTTTGGGTTTATACCAAAGTAATATGTTTAGTTATTATATTATTAATTGCGGCGCAGAAAATTTTATTGACCATAGTAAAATTGCATTCAAGTTTTTACAAAAATTAAATTTGATTTTTATTTGGTGCTTCATTTTTATATTTCTAAATTTTAATTTTCAATTTAACAAACCTTATTTTGCTTTGTAAGTCCCATAAATTGAATTAGATATTTTTTCAAGTTAAAGATAAGGTACTTTTTTAAAATTAATGCAATAAATAAAAAAAATTATAACAAATCATATAAACTATAATTTAGTATACTATTTATAATATCATAATATGTTGTCCAAATTCTTATTAGAAATCAAAACTAAAAATAATAAAAAATTTTTTTTTCTTAAAAAAAAATGCATTATCAAGGTTTAAGTTTATAAACTATCGGATCACCACTAAAATCACATAAAAAAATAATTTTACTCACTATTTTAGCTTTGTAATATTCAAGGGCTCCGATTTTTAGTCTTCTATGTAAAAAATGTTATGACGCCCTTATATCTAAAATAAAAAAACTCTAAACCATTCAAGGTTATGAGTTTTCTATGAATATTGTGTATTATTTAGCTTGATGACGTTTATAGTGGAATTTAGCGTTTTACCAGAACTTCTCTAATTAATTAATAAAAGACTTTCAAAAAATACATACTGCAATGTATTTTAATATAAATTAATGCTATTAGTGAGAGTGCTTACAATATTTCAGAGTGTCATTTACAACACTTATTTCATGATTTGTAGTACTACAAATATATGGGTTATAAAATAATAATTTAGTGTTCTATCCAAACACGTATTTTTATAATTTTATAATAGATTTTTTTATTAATATAATTTTATATTTTCAGAAATAAAATTTAAGTGTATTTCTGGTGTTTTTGATTTAAAACTTATTTTAATGCAATCTGATAACGTCTGTTTTAAACATCATAAAAATGTAGCAAATTACTGATTGAACGTATATTAAAGTCAAAGTATTTACAGACGTATATTGATATATGTATTTTTCTGGAGTATATTGAAACCTCATCTCACTTGGTGACTCAACAGGGTTTAAGGGTTTCAATTTAAAACGGATTTCAAAACGTCAAAGTACTATCGTCTCTTATACTGATATATTATATTTTCACTCTACTAGCTTATTAAATACTGTTTTCATTTACGCATAGCATAAAAACGAAGACTTAGACTGTTTATTTACAATACACTAAATGTTTAAATAAAACAACTTTAGGATGTATAGAAATAAGTATGTTTACCCTTAACTTTATATTGTACCACAACTTAACTAGAGTTATGTAGGATGTGTTGAAATCAAAATCCTAAAAAGTAAGTAATATTTATAGCAGCCGATTCCAGCTACAATTTAATTCTAATTAAACTTTACAAATTATACAATTGTGGATATTGTCCCATTTTATGAAAATTGTACTGGTTAATAGTAAAATTTAAGTAAAGCTAATTATGACACTATTTTATGTAAAATATATATTTTTTATTAATCAATACTGTTTTACCTTTAAAAATTAATAAGAGTAAAATAATTATAGTAGGTGTAATTTTGTTTTCAATTAATTTATCGGTGTTCGTAAGCTTAAAAACTAATAATAATAATTGTTTATTAAAACAAACAAAAATATTTTTTAATGAAGCTAGATTATTTTGATTTATGTCAATAAAAATAGACCCCTAGTGTTTTGTCCATATCTAGGATGAGAATATTATTTTAGTTGTTTCATGAATTTTAACTAATCTAACTTAAATTTACAAGAGTACGATTTTATAAAGTTAAAGTATATAAATCTCGTAACAATTATAATTCATTATTTATTATAAGGAAATAAATGACAATACGACCATGGTATTATGGTAAGTATGACGTTACAAAGTTTTTTAACTAAATTGTACGTCAATTATACAACTTAATAACAAGTGGTAATAGTAAGCGAAACTCTTTTGTACAATAAAATAATTGCAACCATCAAGATTTATGGTAAATGACAAGTCTGTGCCTGAATGAGAACGTTTCTCTCTCGATCGCAAAATCGTTCATTATTGTCGATAGATACATGAAGTAATGAAAGCTGCGCTAATAAATGAATCGCTCAGCATGAGGTACATTNAAATAATTGCAACCATCAAGATTTATGGTAAATGACAAGTCTGTGCCTGAATGAGAACGTTTCTCTCTCGATCGGCAAAATCGTTCATTATTGTCGATAGATACATGAAGTAATGAAAGCTGCGCTAATAAATGAATCGCTCAGCATGAGGTACATTCGATACAATCTTAGGTTCTTCGGATAATTAGCAAAAATCTGTCCGTTAATATTTCTACTGCTGCAAGTGATGGATATTCAATACAAAAGTTGTTTTGCGTGTTAAAGTAATGTTTTGCTTTAGTTGATATAAGGGAGAAATTTAATGGGAAAAATATTTATATAACTAATTAATACCTGAATATTGTTTAATATTGTTATATAAGTCACCACAGACTTAACGAAATTGACTATAATGAGTAATTTTTTTCAAATATTTGATAACTATAATAAATATAGTTTTGTAGCTTGAATATTTATTTAAATTTTCATTACTAATTAATGATTAGATACTCTTTAATTAATATTTTTTGATATTTTATGTGTTATTAAAATTAATGTTATACATACAATTTTTTTTTTTTTATTATTTCTCTATTATAACTTTCAAATTTGAATAATACAACTAATTGACATAAAAAAAGTTCCGAATTAGAAGTTAAAGTTTAGAATCATTGTTTTATAATATAAAAATGACTTGCATTATATTTTAATTTATTTTATTGAATAAAGAATCTTCATTTTATATCGTTTTTTCATTGAAAATGCGACCGAAGTGAACTAATAATGCAGAATAATGTGTGAATACATACTGAATTGTTGCCAGTCACGTGTGAGATGTTTCTGAACTTAGGTTTAGTTATGTAAAAGCAACTCAGTTAATGTTATAAAGAAAACATTAAAGAGTACCTATGTGAAATTATACACTTCAAGAACTTTCAATAGGCAATTTAGAGAAATAAAAATAAAAATGGTAATAATGTCTTTCACACTCTTCGTTAAAATTGTACGAATTATTTTTTCTTAAAAATACTTAATGTATAGAGAGTATAGATCGTCGATATATTATAAATAAAGATTGTGTCACATTCTTGATATATCACGAATTATTTTTTTTTAAATTAACGATAGCTGAAAATTATATGAATGAAAACCTTAGAAAAACAGCTTATTTATTATCAGTAACAATACACATTTTTTATGATAATAAAAGTTACCCAAAAATTATAAATAAATATCATAATTGCATTTATCTTAAACGTCATCTTTCAAAGTCAGATTAAGGAGGTTATTATTATAGTTAAAAATTATTAGAAGCAAATTTTAATATAAAGAGCAAAACCTTTTATAAAGGGGTATCAACTTAGTTTTTTTAATGGTAACTTACAATGGATACTAAGGATGTTATTCTTATTTTTATACCTAGGTCGGACGAAGAGTATGGAAATGACTATTGATAAAAATAGCAACACCCACTCCTCATTTCCAGTCATTACATTAAATTGTTAATAACTTCTGAAATACTGGTCCATCAGTTGTTATCGACCAGTCATTTTCTTAATTAAATTATATCCTATTTTATAAGCTAATTAAACATGTATATTGCCATTTAAAAATATTAAATTAACACATCTTTAAGTTTTAAGGGATGATTCTAAAAAGTAAATATTAGCTGATAAATTAAAAACTTTATGTAACTAAAATGAATCAACATTTTTTTTTCTAATACTCTATTTATTTTGAAAGTAAACGAATGATTTATAATAAATCAATTACTTCGTATAATTAAACAGAAGAATTTTTTTTCTTGTAATACTAGAAATTATGATTTTTATGTTCTTTATTTTTATCTTTGTAAATTAACTAAAAACTGAAAATATATACTTAATTAAAACTTTACATTATAAGTAAAATTAAAACTATATTAAAAATATTATTAATTTAAAAAAACTAAAAAATATTAAAAATATTAAACTCAAAAGCCACAAAAAAATTAATGAAAAGTCGCGGATACGTATTTCGGAAACAATGTTACCATTATCAACGCTAAACACATACTGACACATATTTAATTTTACTTAATTAACTAGCCACAAGTGATCAATTTTTTTTACATTATAAGATTAAAGAGTGCATAAATTAATTATATAAAAAATATTGCATTAATATACCAAGTAATATTATTTATGTAAATACTGAAATAAATTATAAAATATCAATCTAAAATTAATTTTGATATAAGAAAACTCAACATCATACTTGTTATATATATATTTCTACCTCCTACTGTATATTCTTCAATTATAAAAATAATTGAACTAATAATATTGAAAATGAATTAAGAGCTATCTAAAGTCATTTAGAGTTTTCTAAACATACTATAACTTTTAAGCAGATGTTATATTTTTTTTTGGAAGTATTTTCTATATTAATATATTTCAAACTATAAAATGGTTTTTACAGAAAACTGGATAAATTAATTGGATGAGATAAAAAAATTATTTCATCGCAAAAATAAAATATTGTTAAGGCCATTATTATCAACCAGATTTTGTGATGTACTCTTTTTAAAAATCCTGCATTTAGCATCATGTGATTTTTAAAAATACATGTAATATCATTCTTTTTCTGTTTATATCAATAAATTACTTAAATAAAAGATATAAGAAAAAATAGTTTAGTATAATATTTTTGTAATTTTTGTACTTAATTTTTATTTATTAGCTTACAATGTAAATATATCATCTAAAAGTTTTTTAGCTTCCTTTATATTAAAGTAGCTATAAATACATTTTACACGCCTTTTCTTTTTTGTGTACTTATATATAGAACATTGTTACCACGAATAAATGAATCGCCAAATTTATTTTTCAACTCTCCATTTATGTATTCTTCAGTTTGTTCTAATGCAATATTCATGTAACCATCAATACATGCCATTACACCTATATTTAATTAATTTTTTTTTTACTTATATACAAGAATAATTATTTTATGCCTAAACAATTTATGAAAACAACAAATTAAACCAATACTTTTTTTTTAAATTTTAAGACTTGTATTTTTATTAACTATTTAACAGAAAGAGTCTTTAGCAGAGTAAGAGTTAAAAATTACTTTTATAATTATAATTATTTATACATCAATAATATCTATTCGAACTTAAAATTTAATTAACTTAATTAGCTTATTTATTTTTAATAATTAAAAAAACTTGTAAAGTAAAAAATACAACAAAAAAATTATTACAGTACTGGAAAATTATTATAGTTTTTAGATAATAAAAAAATATGTTGATCTTATTTAATTGATTTTTATTAACACATAATAAAATAAGAATGATGAACATCTAAATTAATTAATTAAAGCATAATGCTTAGTAAAATTATACATACCTCGATAATCAACTCCACTGTTAAGCTTTACAACAACAGGCCGACCATGTATTTGTTGAATAAATTGTGTTAAAGCCTCTTTACGACTCATACTGAAACTGCAAAAAAGGAACAACTAATAAGAAAAAATAAATAAATATTTAAGTTAATTTTAGTTATGCTAAAAGTACTAACACTAAAAATATTTAGAACTTGACTAAGAAATTTACTGAGAGTTTGAATTTTTTTAATATATTAAATTCTTATAATGTTACCTTTTTAAAATTAGAAAATTTTATCTAAATATGTGATAAACTAGTGAATTTTATTCGGTTGCTTAAGCCGCTTGCCGTTGACTTGAACTGCTGATAACTATTATCAAATTTCTATGTCGCCAGTGTCACAAACATACCAATGCTATATTTTTTTTCGTGTATATAAATGGTTAAAATTATTATGTTTACTGTTTTTTCCTGGTTACTATTTTTGTAATATTATTATGAAAATAAGTGTAGTAATACTCAAGAACTTAATAGATTCCTTATTTCTTTTTTTTTAACTATTAACTGTAATAAATGTTGAAATGTAATTCAATTTTGAATATGTCATAAGGAAAATTGATATGGCTAAGATTTTTTACTATTTATATTAAATATAAATAAAATAAATTTTATTTTCTTATTACTGTAGCTCATAGCTCATACAGTACAAAATTCAATTCATATATCATGCACTTCAAAGATTAAAATGTTTAGTGCATTTTTTGTATATTTGGGTCATTTTAAAACCATTTAATTGATAATTATATGAGTTTTATGTATTTTTAATTGTATTTCTTCAATAGATACATCATAAAATAAATCTTTTTATTTTTAAAATGATATCATATAATATAGTTTTAAGTAGTTAGTAATTAAATTAGTTATTTGTAGATAACTAATTTAGTTTAAATATACTTAAATACAACTTTATGTAATTACTTAGAAAATAATAATGTCCTCATAATTTAACATGATAATTTTAAGAATTTCCTATTGTTCCTTTTAATATATAATTATTAAAATGTTTTTAATAGTAAAATATATTTTACTTGGATACAATTGTTATAATATTATTTGTTTCCAAGTGAAATTTTGAACTTTACATTTAAAATAAACAAACTATTACCTAATTTTTAGTTAGTTCTATACTTTCTACACTCTAGGCAAGTTAAATTATTTTTTTAAATTATATTTATTTTGATTGATAATAATCTGATGTTAACCTAATAGGTTTTATAAAGTTTTACTTTGTGAATCATTGTATTATTATAAAGTATTGCAAACTAGTACTGGTAAATAACAATAAAAAATCTCATAGTTTGGTTCTTGAATTAATAACTCGGGACATAGTAAATATAGGCTCGTTAAGTAAGTAATTTAATTTTATAATAAATAAAATTTTTACTGAAATGCAAATTATATTTATATACTAATAGTTTTGTAATCCAAATTTGGGTTTATACAAAAACAAATTGAAAATTGAAATATAAAAATGTTTAGTAGCAATTTATTACAAATTCTGTTACAATATTATTAACATATAATCTATTCTCAAATAAAAGTTGTATTATATACTTGAAATTATAGTTAATTTTTAATTATTTTTTTGTTGGCTGGGTATTATTCTCTCAGAGGAATTACTTTACAATAATAAACCAGCTGGAAATTTCAAACCTTGATTTTTAATCACAATAAATAATAAAAACCTCATAAAATGTATGTATTATGAGCTTTAGTTTATAACGGCCCCATGGTAAAAAACTAACTTAAAGAAATTATTTATATATGAAATGATCTATGCATATATTTATTATATACTCTTATATCATTAATTTTTATATTTATGAAATAAAATGTAAGTTACTAGTTCAATAAAATTGCAATCTTTAATTAAATTAAATAAAAAAATCAGTTTCTGTAAAATATTTAATAATTTTTTTTCAGCCGCTCAAAAAAATCTAACTGTTTGCATAACTTGGAGATGGTAAATCTTAACTGTAACGAAAAGTATAAAAACGAAAATAATTTTTATAAAAGGTCATCAAAATTCGTCAAATCAGGGATTTTGACATCCCATATAAATTATACTTTAAACATTTACTCGACTATAAAACCCACTAGCATACTTTCTCATCATGATTATTTAATGTTAACTCCTAAACAGGACAAGTTTTTAAATACTACTGATAATGTAACCACAAAAGATAGTTTGGATACAAAATATATGATAGGATTATCGTCTACTCAAATAAAAATTAATTACGTAAAACCTGCAATATATGTCAGTTTTAAAGACTTCGAAATTGCTTACAAAATTAAATATGCTAATGCAGTTTATGAGAATAACAGTATTCTGATGTCTTGCAGCCATTCAGAACAAATTCGTTCTCGCAAGAGAAATTTTGCAGACATGTTAGATGAATGTGATAATAGCCGCCCTAGAAAAATTTGGAAGGGAAATCCAAATATATCAACTATAAGCAATGTATACAAGACATCATTATCTGGTAATTCGCCTGAAAACATAAAGCCTCATTTCAATTAAAAAATCTTATAGACTTCGATAATATTACACAAGTTTACATAAGTAATTTTCAACCTCATATTTTATTATTAATTTTTACTAAAGTTGATGATGCTATAAAAAAATAAGTTAAAAAAAAATTACAATTGCTTTTGAAAAAAAACTTAAAGAGATTAAAAAACTTGCTTTAAATCAAGCTTATTTATTACGAAAAATAAAATTTAACGATAAAATTGAAATAATAGTGATATTGTTAAAGACATAAAATGTATAAAAGCTACTGTAATGAGTACTCGAAAATTTACTAAGCCAAAAATTTAAAAAAAATTTAAGACTGATTAAGTTGTTGATCCGCTAGAAAATTGTGAATTAATAATTAACCCTGACATGAAGCTATGCTGAGTATTTAAATACCCTTACATTATTGTGATAATAGTAACTAGATACAGACCGGTCTCCAATATTACTTTGTCAAATTTTTGAAAATTTATATAATAATAATAGTAATAGTAAAATAATAATTATTATTATTTCATGTTAAGTTTCATTTTGACTTTTTCAATTATTTAATTATTTGTTTATGTTTATATTGTAATTAAATGTGTTCTTCAAAATTATAATTAATAAGTTATTTATTTACTTATTTTAATAAATTTATTAACTTATTTAAAATACTGTAAAACTTTTGTTATTAAAATTTAGTAATAAAGCTGTACAATTATTTTAATAATTTAATGATTAAAATGATAGTAGACAAATCTATAATATTTAAAAAATAATAGGAATAGTTTATTTATCATGTTAAATAAAATGTAATGGCTTAGTTTTATTACAATAACACAATAACTACCTTTTAAATTTATATATTATTATTATATATCCTAAATGTTAGTCGGCTACATGCACTAGTAAAAAAATAGTTTAAATAACCATAATCATGTTGAATATTGTATTGTAGTGAAACTTTATTTATTAGTATTTCTTATGATTACGGTTATAATAAATTTATTTATTTTGAATAATATGTGGAATATATTATATCAATACTTACGTTTTACTTGTATAGAAAGTATTATGTCGATATATGATAGTAAATTTTAACATATATACATAATCAATCATATGATGGATAATTCATTTTAACCACTGAATATCTTATAATAATACTTAATATAATATTACGCCTTGTTGGCAAAAATTCCTTGCAATCAAATTCCGTATCAATAATTTCATATTTGCTGTATCCTTTAGTATTTTGTTCAGTTGATCATAAGGTTTTGAAAAAATACAGGCGCACATCTAGTTTACTTCTTGGGGATAAGAGGTAGTTAAATTAAATAGATTTTATTGAGGGTTATATGACTATTTTTGCAACCTTAAAAAATTTAATAAAAAACTATTTTGATACTATTAAAGAAAAAAATTTAAAGTTTTGTAATTAGGATGGTAAGGGAATTGGCTCATAAACCTTCCTTAAAGATGCACTTGATATTAAATGAAATCATAGTTGCATTAGTTCAACATTTTGAGATAAAGCTACACCTGTATTTTTAAGGATGTATTAGAACCAAAGTTTTATAAAGTAATACTTTCATTATATCAATGCAATTTAATAAAATCGACGTCTTAGGTTAAAACTTGTTGTTCGTGCATACGTAGTAACAAAATAAAAGTGAGTAAAGAGTAATAGTATTACACAGTTGAAGGCGAGGAAGGTGTGTAGAAACACTGGCGTGATTAAAAAAAAGCTCAAGGAAACCATTTTCCATTAGCGCGGAATCAAAGGTTTCTAAAGGGCACTTAGAAACAATATACGCATTGGATATAGCGGTTGCCGTTCCATTTTATGTACTCATTATAAATCTCGAGCATAAAAACTCTTTTGTGTTCGGCATTTGTAATTACACGGAAAATTGAGTTTGATACAAATGGAACGGTTAATTCGACAAAAACAATAATTGGTGACTGACCTATCGATTTTCTCGGTATGCTGGCAAAAATCGTCTGAAGTTCATTAACGATAAGTTGTGTCGCTAATTTTAACGTGAATAATATTTCGCTTGATTATTAACTCAACTAACAGTCCGATTAAGGGGTGCGGTGAAGTCGATGAGTGAGATTGAAAAATAATTATTGTAAAATATTAACGGTGAAGAATATATGTTAAAAACGAAGGGACAAAGGCAACCGTTAGTTTATAATGTTGTTAATCAACCGTAGTATATTATATTATTTCCATGTCTGTATTATAATCTGGTGGTCTTTATCGAACCTATGCCGCCTAATTGGTTGGCAAAACCGCGGGATACTTAACGGTGGCGACTGCTTCTATAGCGGCGGCGGTGGCGGCGGCCGTCCGTTGCGAATCCCACGCTGTTCACCGCTCTGAACTCTATTCGTGGCGACGCTTATTCAAAACGCGATTATAATTATTACAATAAGCCCGCAGACTGGATTAGGAAAAATATAATTGTTTACCGTGGTCACATGAGATACCTGCCACATAACATTAAACATGTTTTTGGTATATTTAATATTCGTGGCTCTTGTAAATTTATCAAGCGCCTAATAGATAAAAAAAAAATGTTCAAACAAAATCATTTTTATTCGAAAATTGTATTGAGATGAGAAAATTTCGATAAAACCTGAATGTGTTTTCAACTAAGATTATTATTTTTAATTATTAAAATAAATAAAAAAAAGTAGTTTATTTTTAACAAAATTTTACGAAAAAAAATTGTCTTTGTTTGGATAACAATTTATCAAAAAGAGAATATTTTTTTAGTTT